TCACAAAATAGAAAATTGCTTTGATACCACACTTACAATCTTTTTTTTCTCTCTACTTCAGTGGTCTGTAATTTATCTTGCTAAGTTATCTTCTTTTAAGGTTATTTCAGTCTTTCTTTTTTATATAATATGTCTGCTTTGTTATTTATCCTAACAGTACTTTATCTTTTACTGTATATATTTTTTCTTTTTTCTCTCTTTATTGAGATATAATTGGCAGATAGCATTACTAACACTACTTTTTATTCTTTTTATTTTTTAGGTGTCCACCTGTATACCTGTGCCCTCTCATTTTCCTGTACTACTACTATTACAGTACCTTTTTTTCGATCATTCACTTTGGAATCCAAACATGTATATTAGTCAGTGCAAACATCTGACCATTTCATTATGACTTCTAATGTGCCTGAGCATTTACATATGAGATAGTCATGCTTGAACATTGATGTATTGAAATCAATATTGTTATAATTTATTTTCCTTTTATTTCTCCTTAATATTTAGGTGGGGCCTTACATTTATTTTCTTTCTGAAGTTATATATATGGGTGGTTAGTGGCAAACTTCAATTTAGGATGGCCCAGGGGCATTGCTAAATATCTATTATAAAAAGTGGGCATTTGTTCTGATTACGTGGAGAACAACTATTTTAAGTAATCCTTAAAATCCATTTTGAATTTGCCTACTAGTGGGGTGACTGCTCCCTGGTTTGCCTGAAATAGTATTGGTTTAATCGTATTTTCCTGGCAGAATTATTAATTATGTCCCTTTTGGTGTTGAGAGTCCCAGTTTGGATGATAAATTGTGACACCACACATTTTTAGAAGCATTTTTTCTCCTTACCATCTTGATTACGTATTCCCCTTTTCAGCATCATTCTCTCAGTCTCTATATCAGTGGTTCTCAACCTTCGTAATGCCGCGACCCTTTAATACAGTTCCTCATGTTGTGGTGACCCCCAATTTCATTGTTACAAATTGAACATAATTAAAGCATAATGATTAATCATAAAAAACAATATGTAATTATATATGTGTTTTCCGATGGTCTTAGGCGACCCCTGTGAAAGGGTCGTTTGACCCCCAAAGGGGTCGCGACCCACAGGTTGAGAACTGCTGCTCTGTATCCTTTGACAAAAAGTGCTGGGTCCCTCCACTGTTGAACTTTCACTGTTAAAAGCTGCCAGCATTCTGTTTTTACTTGTCCTTGAAAAAAAAATCAAAGATTACTGTTTAAATACCTTCAGTGCCTTGGCCTTTTTCCTCTCATTAATGGATCCTGTCTCCACCAATTCTCTTAAGTTACTCTTCTATTTTTAGCATTTCTACCTTAATCCCCTTTCCACTTATTTTTCTACACAGCCTTACTGTTCTGCCAAATTTTCATGCTTTCACAAAATTAATTTTGCCTTATCTGACAATTTGCAACTTCAAATTTTTGCCTATAAATAGACTCCATTAGTTATCTTAGCCCAAAGTCTCTTTGTTTTGATGTAAACTCTCTGGTGTTAACTCACATTAAAATAAGCATTCCTCAGTTCCATTTTTAGCTGAATGCTGTATGTGTTACCTTTGGATCATACCATAAACTGCTCTTACTCTGATATGGAAGTACCTCCAAACAGCATTCTTTTGCTATTTTTTGAGGAGCTGCCATATTTTTAACTTAATTTTATTTTTTAAGGTATACAGGAATTTTAGCCTTTGGATTAAGATGTTGAGCTCCCAAGAGTTTTAAAGATGCTTTTTCTAGGGTTTTTATTTTTTTATTTTGTTAAAATACACATAACTTAAAATTTACCATTTCAACCATTTTAAAGTATACAATTCAGGGGTGTTAAGTATATTCACGGTGCTGTGCAACCATCACCACCACTGTTTATCCCCCAGACAGAAACCCCGCTCACACTGAGCAGGCATTCCCCGCCCCACCCCAGCTCCTCACAGCCACTAACCTGCTTTCTGTCTCTATGGATTTTCCCCTTCAGAACATTTTACATAAATGGGATTTTACATTTTTTGGTGTCTTGCTTTCTTCACTTAGCAAATTTGTCCAAGGTTCATCCATGTTATAGCATGTCTCATTACTTTATTCCTGAATAATATTTCATTGTATAGATAGACTGCTTTCTGCTTACCCATTCATCAGTTGTCAGTCTCATGTTTATCATATCTTTACTCCAAAATGAAATGAGCATTACAGTAGGTTAAGTGCAGGAATGGTACATGGATATTTAAGGTGGGTGTCTTAGTGATTGGGCATGTTACTGATGCTGTGGCATAGAGCGTGTGTACTAGTAAGAGGGCATGTTTACCTCTGTTTGGATGCTGGAATCTTTTTCCTTTTTAAATTTTCTTTCTCCACACCTTCCAACTTTTTTTCCCTTTTTTTATAACTAGATTTTCTGTTTTTTCTTTACCATTATATTTATAGGTTCTAGAACAAGACAACTAAATAAAATTATTCATAGTCCCACCACCCCAATAACAGTTGATGCATTTTCTTCTGGTCATTTTCCTATGTTTGGGTATTTCATTTTTTGTAATTATAATCACATTGAACAGAAAATGTTATATGCTGCTCTTTTTCATAAAACTCATTAATTTAGCAAATATCTGAATATCTCTCATGTGCTGGGCACTGTTCTGGATACCTCTGGTGAATGAGTAAGAAGTACGGGTGGGATGTGGTTCGAGAGTCATCAGCTTCTGAGTGATATTTAAAGTCATGGGGCTGCTGCATAGTATTCCATGGTGTAAATGTACCACAGTGTTTTTATCCACTTATCTGCTGATGGGCACTTGGCCTGAGACAGCGTGGAGGTGCCTGGAAAGTGTTATGCTGAGGGAAATAAGCCACTCAGAGAAAGACAAGTATCACATGAAGTCACTCATATGTGGAATCTAATGAACAAAATAAACTGATGAACAAAATAGATCCAGAGACAGAAGTGTGGAACGGACTGTGGGAGGAGGTCAATGGGGGTAAAAGGAGACATATGTAATACAGTGGGGCCTTGACTTACGAGTGTCCCAACTAACGAGTTTTTTGAGATACCAGCTGTCTCTCCGCCGATTTTTTGCATTGAGTTGATAGAGTAATTTGAGTTAACGAGCTCGGTCTCAGAACGAATTAAACTCGTAAGTCAGGGCCCCACTGTACTTGCAACAATAAAGATTTTTTAAAAATGATAAAGTCATGGAGCTGTCCACAGCCTCCTGAAGGAGAGCCTAGGGTGCTGAGGGGAAGACCCAGGACTCAGCCGCTGCAAAGGTTGGGCAGAGGAGATGGACGAAGAAGGGTGAGCCTGGAGAATCTGAGAAGCAGGAAGTGAAGGAGAAGGGCTTTGAGGGGAGTGGCCCCTCATGTCAAGTGCTACAGAATATGGGTTTGGTGAGATGGTGGTCGGGATGGAGCTCATGGAGTAGAGGGAGTCACAGCCCAGATGGAGTGTGGAGGAGCCAATGATAGGATATTTTTACATACTTCTATGTTTCATATGTTCTTAACATTTTACTTAACCACTTATTGTCTTCCTACTGTGTGACATTTACATCATTTCCAACTTTCACTACAAACAAGACCGAAGTGAACAGCTGTGTAAACTTGCTCTTCTACTTTTAGCATCATTTCCTTTGACTGGAGGCACAGAAAGGAAGTTGCTGGCCTAAGAGCAGAGAGTACTTAAAGCTCATGTTTCATTCGCACAGATCCTTTCTAAAAGGGCTGACTGGTACTCCCCACTCCAGCAGTGATGGAGGGGCCCCAGCACCCCGACTGCAGTTGTCAGTGGGGTCCTCCCTATCAGCTTAGAAGTTCTTTGAATCTTGAAGAGCATTGAATGACAAGAACAAAACCACACTGTGGCATGAATACACACAGCTCATTAGATAGTTATGTTAAACAGAATGCAGGTGCTGCAATTGCCATTCCACATGGAACCACGCTTAAATGTGATGCTGGTGTGTTAATCCTTTCGCTGGGGTTCTAGTGGAACCTTAGGCCAGCTAAGCCGAGGGAAATACGCAGCCATGACCTTCACCTCCCATTCCTGTGCATCCTTGTAGATGGGATGGGTGCTGGCATGTAAGGGAATCTCCCCTTTTCCAGTCAACACGCTGCAACCTCTCATGGCAGCTGCCTGCTCATATCAGGGAGTGACACCTGCCCTTCCCATGTGTGCCTCGGGTGGGGTTTCATAAACATTCCAGCTTCTGGCAGAGAGAGAACAACTTCCAGGCTGATCACCATCGCAAAATGCCCTGCCCTCCCCTTCCCATTCCTCAGAAACACCCACCACTTTGTAGTCACTGTGTGGGCACATTGTGAGTTGTCCCTCCCGCAGTAGCAGTTGGATAGAAGGAGCTGATCCCAGCTGCTCTTGGGTGTGCTGGTTAACGGCTGGCTCCACAGTAGCCCATCTCCAGTCATCGGCTTCATCCCAGCAGGATGGGTGTGGCTATCTGCTGGGCTTTAAGCAGAAAGATGGAGTGTTGAGTGTGTCCAACATGAATAGATGTGGTAAGAGAGATACAAGGGCCTCTCCCTCCAACTGAGTCATTTCCTGGAGAGGCCATGGGTCACCATAGATAACCCCCAAAGTGGAAGCTCCAGCTGTGGACCACAAATCCCCCAACCCCCAAAGAGGAAGCCTCAGCGGCAGTGACAGCTCAGCAGGTGTTGATGTTCACGAATAGGCAGGCCCGGGTGCAGTCCTGCACTGTGACCGGCTCTGGGGCTTGAGTGGGCGACTTCTCTGAATCCCATTGTTCTCGTCTGTTTAAACACTAGGCGGATGGTGTAGTACCAGCCTCCTTAAATTATTGCAGGAAATCAGGCGATGATGCATGTAAGTGCCCAGCATAGTGCCTGACCATACGGGCTCAGTCAGGTGAACTGTGTCCTTTGTTGTCCCACCCATTCTCGTTGACTGATTCTTTGTTCCAGATTGGTGGCTGAGACCCGACTCTTCAAGCCTCTTTCTCTGTTTCCTACTTGCAGGGGGCTTTGTGAAGAGGCACGGTCAGCCTGTTTCCAAAACCTTGGGGTAAGTTCTGGGATGTTCAAGCCAGGGTAAGGGCTGGATAGGCTTTTCCAGCTGACTTGACAGAACAGGTCTAGGGAACACATCCTCTTGGGGATCCTGGGTCATGATAACTAAAGTGGGAGCCTATTGGGATGTGATGGGCCATTCACACAGTGCCTCCTGACCTGCCTCTGTGGATAGCCCCTGGACTAAATGCTGCTAAATGCTAAGGAAGGGGGCTCTGTGGCCCTATAGTCTGCAGGGATGTCTAACAACCAAGGCAATAGTTGAATGACTTAAGTAAGTAGACTTAGAAGAGGCAATCTATGTGACACTTGTTTTTAAAATATATATATATATATATATATGTATATATATATATATATTGATTTCAGAGAGGAAGGGAGAAGGAGAGAGGAATAGAAACATCAATGATAAGAGAGAATCATTGATTGGCTGCCTCCCGCACACCTCCTACTAGGGAACGAGCCCACAACCCAGGCATGTGCCCTTGGCCGGAATTGAACCTGGAACCCTTCAGTGCGCAGGCCAACGCTGTATCCACTGAGCCAAACCGGCTAGGGCAGGAAAGTTTATTTCTTACTCAAGCAGTCAATTCAGATGTTCTTAAACAGGTGAAGTTTCCTATTATTTTTCAGGGATCCAGGCTCTTTCCATTTTGTAGCTCCACCATCTCCTAGTTCTTGGAGCCTCTGCTGGACCCTGTGCATCTAGCCAGAAGAGTGGATAAGAGAGAGTGTGGAGAATCTCACAGGAAGTTTTATGGGTCCAGTCTAGAGATGGCATACAGCACTTCTGCTTGAAGTCTGTTGGCCACAACCCAGGTGTTTGGTCAGAACTCAGTAGAATTCAGGTGTATCCTACTTTAAGGGAGTTTAGTCAATGAAGACTAGCTGCAGGTCCAGGAGGTGAAGGAAACAAGTTTTGGTGCCACAGGTTTTCACTGGAGATACAGGGGGTGCATCAGAAGTGTGTTTGAGGCACAGAGATGAGCAGGCTGCCCTTTACTGGTCCCTGGCCCCAATTTAAGCGACTTGGAAGGCGTCAGAGATAAAGAGATGTGAATGGCTGCAGTGTCTGAGGCTGGATTCTCTGCTGATTTCTTTCCCGGGACAGATTCACATCCCCCACAGTGGAGACCCGTCCTAGCATCTGGGGAGAGTGCCCACCAAAGTTTGCTACCAAGCTGGGCCGTGCGGTGGTCAGAGAAGGACAGATGGGGCGATTCTCCTGCAAGATCACTGGCCGGCCCCAACCACAGGTCACCTGGCTCAAGGTGAGGTTTTTGTCTGCCCCAACTCTGGCCAGACCTGGGGGACCCTGAAGGTTTAGCGTTAGGCCCTTGGACCAATGGGGGTGTCTTTCTAATCAGCCCCTTCTTTTTCATCCATAGGTAGTTCTTGGGGTTTCTCTGTGTTTCACAGTCATGCTGGTTCCTGCCCCTGGCTGCATACTCTCCCTCTGTTACTCAGTCCACAATGTCCTATAATCCACACACACACACAACAGCATAAAACTTCTGTGCAACACAGACCCGACCATCTCCACAGAGTGGAATTTGAAGCCGTGGGACTTGGTTTTAACCCTCAGCTCCCTGGTTCACAAAGCATGTAACACCAGCAAGTCATTTGGTCTCTTAGAACCCTGGTCTCCTTGTCTTCCTCTATAGCACAACACTCACTATGGTTAGGTAAGCGCAGACTGTACAGTGGGGCTTTGACTTACGAGTGTCCCGACTAACAAGTTTTTTGAGATACCAGCTGTCTCTCCGCTGATTTTTTGCATTGAGTTGCCAGAGTAATTTGAGTTAACGAGCTTGGTCTCGGAACAAATTAAATTCGTAAGTCAAGGCTCCATTGTATAGGATTTTCCACTGAAAACTGGGGCTCCTTTGAAACAGGTCCCATACGTCTGCTCTAAGCCCAACCAAACACCATGCTGCATACACAGACCCAGGGTCAGGGCAGTTGGGCTGTTCAACGACGACTCTTGTACAGCGTGGGGATTATAGTCAGTAACACTGCAATAACTATGTGTGGTGTCAAGTGGATTCTAAACTTACCCGGCTGATCATTTCGTAAGGCATGTAAATATCTAGTCACTATGTTGTGCACCTAAAACTAACACGATAGTGTATGTCAACTGTAATTGAAAACTGTCTTTTTTAAAGCCTGTTTCTAAGCGTGTTGACAGAGCCCAGACGGAGGGCTCTGCTGCCCAGGCCCAGGGTCTGTCCCACGAGGATTGGCTGGAGATAGGAGGACAGAGCCAACAGGGAGCAGGTTGCTCTGACCAAGCCACCCTCTCCCACCACAGGGAGATGCTCCCCTGCAGCCCAGTGCCCGAGTGTCTATGTCTGAGAAGAATGGGATGCAGGTCCTGGAGATCCAGGAGGTGAGCCAAGACGACGTGGGAGTATACACCTGCTTGGTGGTGAACGGGTCTGGGAAGGCCTCCATGTCCGCCGAGCTCTCCATCCAAGGTAGGGCCAGGAGGCTGGTGCACACAGTCCCTCCCGGCGTCTGTACCCTCCTCGCGTGTCCATTATGCATCTCTGTGTCACACATGTCCTATTCACATGCCCAGGTGTCCCCAGAGGCAGGGTCTTGAACCCGAGGGAGGAAGTAGGAGGGCAGCACAGACACGGCCACCCTCCGCCCCTCACCCGTGTCTTCATCTTTTCTTGTTCAGGCTCCTTTTTTATGTCTCTAAATGCCCATCGGCAGAGCGGACATGGCTAATGCCATCACCCCAAATGTAACCTGCCTAAAGTTTAACTTACCATCCATGCTTCACTCTGTCCTTCACATCAACTTAACTCTGTCTCCCCCATGATCTCCCTTTTCCTTCTCCCCCAGACCGGACATTCCAGCCTCACCTTTCACCCTGCCTCCTCTTGCTGTAATCGTCTGTCCCTGTCAGCTCTTCCTTTGAAGTATCTTTGAATATGTCTCCTTCTTACATTGCCCTTGGTTCCATCAAGTCCAGCCTAGGAACGTCGGAGCGTGTGGAGCGGGAACCTTGAGCAAGGTGGGGTCTGGGGATCAAGGAGGGAAACAGCCTCCGCCTCTCCTCCTTTCTCACCCTTTCTGCTGTGATGTTTCTCTCCCACATTTCCTCCCTTTCCCAGAAACTATTCCTCCTCACTCCCGTTACCATTTTTGGCCCAAGCATTTATCACAACCCACAGAAAGAAATGTGTTCCGCATTGCAACTCAGGACATGCCTCTGTATATAAACATATTTAACTGAAACAAGTTTCTTGAAACCATCCTGAGTTGTACCGTGTACGGTACATGCTGCTATTTTTTGTTCCATCTGCATCATCTGGCCCGACCACAGAATCCAACCCCACAGCTCACTGCAGGGGCAGGACCTGCTGTGAGGCATGGAGAGTAGCGTCTTAGTCACTCTTCCTTTTCATGCCGTGACATTGAATTAGAGACCTGCTCCCTTCTGAAGTACTTGATGACAAAATCCTATGTCATCTGGGATTTGTTTTAAAACACTCCCAGAAAAAGCTCCGGGAAACAAAGCAAAGGGATAGATAAGACTGGCAAAATATTGATATTTCCTTCATCTGGGTGATGGAGTTCAGGGTTTATTGCATCCTTCTCTCTACTATTGTATGTTTTGAAATTTTCCCTGTTAAATATTAAAAAAAAAATAATGTGGCAGGAAAAAATATATTTTTTGAGGAACTAAATAAAAACACACTTTTCCTTAACCTTTTATAGCAGGTATGTATTTAAAAAAATGATGATCTGGGTGGTGTTGTTTTTGAGGGCCACGTGTAAGTTAACCTGTTTGGGTTTGAAATGTTCAGCATGTGTTTATTTTTGTTTGTCCCTCAATTGGCTCTGGTTCCGTCTGTGGCTAGAGAGCAGGACAGGTGCCCTGCTGCAGGGTGTGACGGCACAGCCACCGAGACAGCCCAGCAGCAGGGGAAGCACGGACAGTCCTCAGAGCTCAGAGGGGCTTGTCAGATTAACCCAACATGTTCAGGAGCAGGGAAGCCAAAGGAGAGAGGGAAGTGGGACCGTGGGTAAGGGGGAGGTGAGAGCTTAGGGGATGACAACTGTAATGGAAGAGGTTGCTGTCTTATTCCTTTCTCCTCTTGGTATATAAAATATCCCACTAACAGTGTTTCTACCCTCTCCCTTTTTCCAGGTTTGGACAATGCCAATAGGTATGTTTAGGTTTTGTGATTATTATGTTTCCATCTTGAAATGCCTTGAATTTCTGAGTCATGGGGCAGGGAGAACTGTTTTGGGGGTGTTTTATTTTTGGTGTGGGGGGAGGAGAACTGTGTGGGGGTGTTGTTTTATTTTGGGTGTTTCCTTTCGTTCTCCTATTGAACATGCCGTCAGGTTCTATATCAGCCTTGCCATCAGTACTGAGACTCTGGACTCAGTACCACTGTCTTTCTCAGCGTCTGTTCAGAGTCCTTTCCAGTTGTGTCATCAGGAAGGGCACGGCCTTCTACGTGCCGGGCCAGACCCCGCTGCCCATCCTGCTCCTCTTTCTCAGGAGCGCCCTCCCGGCGTGCAGGCTCAGCGGCCTGGGTGCGTGGGGCGAGCAGATACCTGGTGCTGAGAAGGGCTTGAACAGAGCGCACTAATGCGTAAGTGCAGATGATGATAAGTCTGGGGAGAGTAACAGAGAGGAGCGCGTGTAGGCTCGAGGGCCAGAGAAGCCTTTCCTGAAGGAAGACATGATGCTTGAGCCCACGTCTGTGAAGAGTGAGGTTAGCTGGTGAAGAAAAGCTCAGGCAGAGGGCAGGTGTGTGGGCTGTGAGGTGAGAGGGGGCACGGGGTTACCGTGTGGCTGCAGCCCAGTAGGCAGCGCCGACGCTGTCTTGTGAGGTTCAAGGGGCAGCAGAGCCCCTGCTCATAGAGGTGCCCTGGTCGGCCATCTTGGGGAGCTCAGTTTTGCTCTTCACGTCATAGAAAAGCTGTTGGGAAATCTTTAAGTTTGAAATGGCATGATGCATGTTTTTACATTGACTCGCCTGCTCCGTGGAACATGGAACAGAGGGGCCGCATGGACGGGGAAGTGGAGGTGTGGCTGAAACTGGCTGGTTATTGTGGAGAAGAGAAATAAGGCAGATTTAATAAACGCGGGAAGATCAGGCTCTGGACTGGGCATGAGGGCCAGGGAAGGGTCGGGAATGGCTGCTCGTTCCCTAGCTTGGGAACCTGAGAACACTGCAGAGCACACTTTTGCTCTCACTTTCTCTTAACCCATGGGCTTCTGTGATCCCTGGAATCCGTGCTTGTGAGTAATCAGATGATCATTCTATTTCTCCTCCTTCCCCGCTGTCCTCCTCCCCGCCACCACCCGCAGGTCAGCGTTGAGGGGGACAAAGGCAGCCAGTTCAGATATCAGGAAGGAAGTGGCCAATGGAGTCACACCAGGGCCCAAACTGGACAGCCTGGGAGCTGCCGCTGAAAGTAAGAACTGCTCCAGCGCCCAGAGAGGCGACCCCCCGTCCTGGGCCCCAAACAGCCAGCCTCCGCCCCTGAGGGAGCCCAAGCTGGAACTGCCCGGGGACTCGCCCAGGAAGGCCCTGAGGACCCCCATCCTGCAGAAGACCTCCAGCACCATCACCCTGCAGGCCACCAGGGTCCAGCCGGAGCCCAGGGCACCGGACCCCGGTGCTCTCCTGCCTTCCGGAGAGGCGAGAGCGAGGCCAGCCGCTCCCCCTGCAGCCACGCTCCCCACCAGGCAGTCTGTCCTGGGAACCCAAGACATTGTGAACAAGGTCGCTTCCAGGAAAATCCCCACGGAGAGCCGAAGGGACTCAACATCCCCCACATTCGACAGCAAGCCCCAAAGCCAGGAAGTCCGTGAAGGTCAAATAGTCAAGTTCAGGTGTGAGGGTGAGTAGAGCTGAGGTCACTGGCCCCACAGTGTAGCCCTGGGTGGCCACTCCCTCCTTCAGCACAGTGTCCGAGCCTCCGGCACCACCCACCCCCTTGGGCACCAGTCACCCTGGAAGCCACTTTGCAGGGGCCGCCCCTCAGGAAGGACTCAGTCTAGTGTCCGAGAAATACCCAGCAGTGCCCTTGCTCATTGTTGGGTAGAGCATCAGCCTTGTGCCCTAATTCTCACCACCCTGGAGGGGAAACTGATCATCACCATCAAACACCAGTCACAGGCCTCCTCCTCTCCTCCCTCCTGCTGGCTTTGGCTCACCTGGAGACCTAGCTGTCACCCTGTACCCTCCCCACTAGGACCCTGCCCCTGTCCTGTGTTGTTCACTTCTGTAACGTGGAGGGTCGAGGGGTAAGAAAGTGGACGCAAGCAGGAGGCAGCTACACACCAGTCTGAGCTCTTTCCTGCGTTTAGCCTCCCATACCCCAGTACTGGGTGCTCTCAGAGGACCTCACGACCTTCACCTGGCCCTGCAGTTTCAGGGATCCCAAAGCCCCAAGTGGCCTGGTTCCTGGAAGGTGTCCCCGTGAGGAGACGAGAAGGCACCGTTGAGATCTACGAAGATGGTGGATCCCATTACCTCTGCCTGCTGAGAGCCCGGGCCAGGGACAGCGGGCGCTACAGCTGCGTAGCCTCCAACATCCGAGGCCAGGTGTCCTGTGACTGGACCCTCCTGGTGAAAAGTGAGTTACATTCCTTCGGGTCTCCCTGGGTTCTGGGTGGGGCGGAGGGGGGGAGGGAGAGAGAGAGAGGGGTCTTCATATCCTGAACAAGGTCATCTCCCACAGCCCCCACCCAGGGCGTCCAACCCCGCAGACATTGTCCCCACATACGTGCCAAGGCCAAAGTCACTGCTCAGGACAGTGACCCTGGCCTCGAGTTCATCAACATCACCTCAGAATAAACTTCCCCGGCCCACGCCCGCCCAGCCAGAGCTGCCTTTCTTGGGCTCCTCAGCTGCCTGGGTAGCGCCAGCACTCACTTCTCTAACCACAGGGAGCCGAACGTCCCCTAAATATACGCGTCTAAAGTAACATGAGCTGATGTGGGATCCCACATCTCTTCTGTTTATTGTAATATCTGCTTATAAAAGTAATGGGTGTTCATTGTGGGAATTTAAACAATACATGATCCTATGACTCAAATATATGATATTTTAATGTTTTTAAAACAACATCGACGTTGTGCTGTATTCTAATTTGTTCATGTTACATGAGCTTCTTTATTTAATATCATTTGAAAACGTAATTTTGATGGCCACATCATGTTTCACAGAATAATGTACCCAATTTAGGCATAGTCTTATTGTTGAGTATTTAGATTTGCTCCCATGTGTTCACTCTTGTATAACAAAACTGTGATAATGCTTGTGCCCATCTATCTTTCTGTAAAATTTCCCCCTTTCTCTTTTTTCCTATCACAGCAGAGAGCTGTCTGTTTCCCTTAGGGAGACTTCTCTTTCCACTCTTGCCCTTCTCCACAAAGACTGAAACCAAAAACGATCACTCTCCCACCATTCTCTCTCCCCTCCCTTTATCCGGAGGCCCTTCTTTCCCATGGGCATGCTCTGCTCTTCCGTGTGCTGAAGGGGAAGGAAAACTCATCCTTCTGCTCCACTGCCTCTTTAGCTCCGACTTTCTCTCTGCTCCCTCTTCCTTAAACTTGCTGCCGTGTAGAGAGAGTCTCTATTGCCGGGACTGAATGGCAGACCCTGAGCCACGGATGAATGGATTACTCTGACACACGTTTCTGTGAAAGAGAGGTTTCTGTTCACCTGCCTCCTTAGGCTTTTATTGTAACAACAGCTTGAACTTAAATTAGCTATTAAGTACTCTCAGCAGGGTAAGCATCCTTGAGAGGACACATGCGTCTGTGGTGTCTTTTAAGCAAGGACATGTCTAAGTAAACACCTGGTGGCTCAGACTTGTTTGGAAAAGTCAAGGCAGGGGCAGGCACCTTCAGCCAACTCCTGCCCCGTGCCTCCCCACTCTGTCACAGCTTCTATGATTGTAATAGCGAACACTCCACCAGGAAAGCCTGCCCAGTGTGCCGGCATGTGTGCTAATGCTCTACTTGCATTGCTCCATTTAGTTAGCCCAACAGTGTTACAAGCCACTTGCAGTCACACCCAGTACTGAGCTGTAGTGAGGTTAAGTGACTTGTCCAAGGTCACACGCTTTGTAAAAGGTTCCTAACCCACGTTGGTCAGACATGGAAGCCCATACTTTCAGTGGCTCACAAAGGCGTTTTTCTAGGGAGAGAATTGGACATCGGTGGGGAAGAAGTGGAGGTGGTGCCTCCCCACACCCCCGTGAGGTAGCCGTCCATCCCTCCCTCGGGGCCAGTCCCTTTCAGATGCCCCATGACTGACTCCTGGCTGCTCTCCCCTCAGGGGAGCATGGTCTAGCGGAGGAAGTGTGGATGTCGCCGAGAGCCTTGCTTCACCATTGGGCTTGGCTATGGGAAATTATTAGCTTCGTCTGTAAAGTGAGCTAAGACAGAAAACGCATGGCCTTGTCACAGTCACGTCTGGAAAAGTACCTGGCATGTAGTAAGCCCTCAACTATTGGGTTTGGCCCTTAAACCCTTGCAGTATAGTCACATGGCTTGCCTCTCATCACTGTACTGAATAGCGTCTATTGAAAAGCACAGGTGAGGTGTTTTTAATCATCTAGTCCAGTTACCTTTTCTCAGCCGTCAGCCACCTTGACATTTCTGCAGCGTGTCCTAATCATTGTACAAGAGATATCTATCCCTATTGCTCTTAATTCAGATCCTCAAACTACAAAATGCTCCCTAGTTCACCAATGTACAGACTTCTGGGAAGTCTAGCTGGGTGGTCCACAAGGTCAGTATCATGTGGAAACTTCGTAAGGCACAGTCCCCACCCCCAGCGGCCCTGGGTCATTGGCGTGGGGTGAAACACTGGGATGCATATGAGTCTGTCATCTGATTCAGTCCTGGAATTGGAAAAAGTAATTATACTAACTTAAAATCGAAATGTTCTCACGAGTGACCTGTCCATGTAAAAAGACAGTCACGAGACTGTGCAGTCACCGATGGATATAAAGAAGCTTAGAGACACTGGACAGTGGAGTAGGACCAGAAAGGCAGAAGGAGGAAATGTCAGAGTCAGACCAGGCAGGAGTGTCCAAGTCCCATGGGAGGAGGCAGGCCCGGGTCCTGAGCACCCCCACACATGGTGCTTTGTGATGGTGGAAAGCCCTGCCAGGTACTATTCCACCTCAAGCTCCAGGTCTCTCCCCCCGAGGTGTGCCCGCTTCCAGTGTGAGGCCTCTGAGGAAGCCCTGGGTGCCCAGGGCAGTGAGGTGTCTACCTGTGAGACTTGGAGTGACTGTAGTCAGTCACCAGAATGGGCCAGCTGGGATCTGAGATGGCCTGTCTGCTCTCTGCCCGCACAGGACCGGCCTTGATGGAGGCGCCCCCCTCCTTCTCCAGCGTCCTGAAGGACTGCACCGTCGTCGAGGGCCAGGACTTTGTGCTCCAGTGCTCGGTGCAGGGGACCCCAGTGCCCCAAATCACTTGGCTGCTAAATGGTGAGCCGCCCTGCCCCAGTGCCCTGCCCCAGCCCTCGGGCCCCCTTGGTCCTGCCTGCGTTCTCACTTGGCTTCCACGTGTATCACTCTGAACCACATATGCATCAGAAGGAAGCACAGGTACAGGGAGAGAATGGGACCTGCCCTTGCCTGGCTGGGGATACTGGGCAGGTTACTACTCCCTCTGAGCTTTGAGCTCCTCGCCTGCAAGACGGAAATAATGCCACTTACCTTCCAGGGTGGCGGCCGTGAAATTAAATTAGATCCTTTATATAAAACAGTTAACGAAGTGTCTAGGACATAGGTGCACAAGCAATTTAGTTTCTTTTTATGTGGCCAGATTCATAATAGGCCTCAATAAATATTTGTGGAGTCAATAAAAGAACAAATACACCAAATTAATGAACCACACCAGAAGTTACTCAAAGGGCCTCATCTTTGATTTACTGGCAGGTGGTGTTGGGGTCCACAGACCAGTAATTCTTTTTAATGGTATAGTCCTATGGAGACATGCCAACTTTTAAAAAATGTATTTAATGATTTTGAGTGTGGAAGGGAGAGAGAGAGAGAGAGAGAACAAGAGAGAGAGAGAAATATCGACTTGTTCCACTTATTTGTGCATTCATTGGTTGCTTCTTATATGTACCCTGACCAGAGAGGGAACCCACAACCTTGGTGTATCAGGACGATGCTCTAACCCACCGAGCTACCCGGCCAGGGTAGCAAGCTTTTTTTTTTTTTTTTTTTTTAGCCAAGTAATGTCCTTTGAAAAAATTTTTATATATTATCACCCTCCTCTTTTAAAAAAGGCCTTTAAATCCCAAAAGTCTGGAAGAACTCTAATTTTAGAACTGAGAACAGTCCATAAAATTGATGAAATTGAGCAAAGTCTGCTTTGGTGATCAACAGGGGGAAGGAAGGAACAGCTGCCAAGAGTCAGGAGACAAGGGCACGCGTCCTTCTCCGCCATCGAGTGGTTGGGTGACCGGGACACCCCCCCTTACCTCTCTGGCATCACCTATGAGGAGGTGGGCTGGAACAGAGGTTCAGGGTCTCAGCCAACTCTCAGGGCTGACGGGATAGGCCAGTGGTCGGCAAACTACGGCTCCGCGAACTGCGGCTCGCGAGCCACATGCGGCTCTTTGGCCCCTTGAGTGTAGCTCTTCCACAAAATACCCACATCTGTGCATGGGCCACGAAGTTTCAATCGCACTGTACGTGTGCGCCCGCACGTGGTATTTTGTGGAAGAGCCACACTCAAGAGGCCAAAGAGCCGCATGTGGCTCGCGAGCCACAATTCGCCGACCATGGGGATAGGCTCCTTAAGGTAGAAGGGCACCCATCACCTATGCACCAAACAGTCTCCAGCTGTTTGTGCACCCCTGACATGAATGTTGCTTGGGAACCTTCCTTGTTGGTATAGTCTGTTAGGCTTTGATGGAAATTATCTCTCGTTGGTGAGCAAAGGCGCCATGGAGTTTTCCTGTGTGTCGTCGACTTGGATTGCTAAGTGAGAACTGAGGTCTCCCCGCCCTCCACCCTCGCTAAGAACATAGCCCCTGTTGGATTCGTGACTAACTGCAAGGGGGCAGCCTCCTTGCGGCTGGGACGGAGCATGGGCGGTAAGGACTAGCGATGGATCTAAGTGAGAGCTTCACTTCCGTCTGCCTCCGCGTCCCAGCCAGAGGCGCAAGGATGTGCCTCTGTGAAGGGCCAGACACTGTTGTCTCCGTCAAGCTGCTCAACGCTGCTGTCCTGGCACAGAAGCAGCCTGACACAATATGCAAATGAACGAGTGTGGCTGTGTTGCAGTAAAGCTTTACTGGTGGACACTGAATGTGAATTTCATACAATTTTCACATCATGAAAATTTCTCCTTTGATTTTTCAACCCTTTAAAATCTGTAAAAGCTGTTCTTAGCTTTCAGGTTGTACAAAAACAGGCTTCAGGTCAGAGTTGTCCTATGAGCAGTGGTTTGCTGACCTGGTCTACACAGGACTGAAGAGCAACCCCACCTCCTTCTTCCTGGTGAATCTTGGCATTTCCACACTCTGACCACTAGAGGGCAATTGTGCTCAAGTTGGGTCCCCGTGGCCACTGACTCTGGTCTTACCCTTCGTGGAGCTGGGAGAGTTGTGTCTCCTGATCTGAGGCCTCTTTTCCGGGGCCACCATCCCATCCCATCTGGTGGGGACAAGATGAGTTGTGCCAGAAAAAGGGGAGCTCTCACACATCTTGTCAGTATGCTCGACAGCGGAGGCCTGTGAGGGCGGTCATGGGATGCACTGGTATTCTCAAGGAAGAGAGGTCTTAGGGTGTGATTGTCACAAAAAATAAAAACCAAGAGCAGTGGTCCACCCTCTCAGTAGCAGGACCCTGGCCCCTGCCGTTCCGGTCCCGATTCGGTGCAGAGCAGTAGGTCAGGCCGAACCTCCTCCCTCAGGTCCTGTGCGTGCCTGGCCGCCTCTGCCAAACTGTCGTGGAGACGTGAGTGTTGTTATGTGCAGAAGAAAACATTGCATTGCAGGGAGAACACTTCTCTCCATACTCCCTCCCTCCCCCACTGCTCGCCCCAACTTTATGAAGTGCGGCCTGACGAGGGAAGAAGCTGACATTTGCTTCCTATATGGTGAACAGACACCTTCCTGCTCTAAGGCCACAGTCCTCAGTGATGAGGTTTCTTCTTCCTGCAATGAAAGCTCACATCCTGGGATGATAAGGGCCCAGGAACAGATAGCATTAAGGGAACCACTGAGTTCCTAGCCTGCGTTTCTCTCCCCATGCAGGATTTTATAGAGGGCCTCTCTGGCAGGGTCTCTGGGAAGAAGGGGCCAGCATTGTTTCCACTTCCCCGTGTTTATCTTCCTTGTGAACCCTAAAATGCCCCTTGTCCCGTGGAAGAAATGCACCTACCGATAATTGCAGCATCAGGTTGAGAGTTCTGGGAACTATGGAATCCTTGTTTCTGGAGACTTCTAAAAGGAGTCTGGCTGGTCTGCTCTGCCCGAGGCTGGGCCGTGGGCCAGATGACCCTGTGAGATTCTTTCCAGGCTTCGAAGTCTGTGAAGTCCAGGATGTGGACTGGGGGACTGTTTATGTAAACAGAATGCACAGAACTGTGCCCCTTTCCTTCCCGCATTCTAAATGTCTCCGGAACCTCTCCCTCAGTCCTTCCAGCTGCAGTCTCGCTCCTCCACCCTCACAGTTACTCCTCTCCACAATCTCCCTAGCACCTGCCTCTTTCTCCACCCACAAGCCTCTGCCCAGGTGGCTGGGATGGGGGTGGGGGGAGAGGCTGACTCCTCATTAGGTCTCAGTGTGTCTGAGCAACGATGGTGAGCATCAGAGTCACTACCAGAGCAGCCTGCTGAGGACAGGGCTCTGCCCCATCCCCGTGCTGCCTGACTGAGCCCTCCTGTGCTTCCTCCACAGAGCAGCCCATCCAGTACGCGCACTCCACCTGTGAGGCTGGCGTGGCTGAGCTCCACATCCAGGACGCCCTGCCAGAGGACCATGGCACCTACACCTGCCTGGCTGAGAACCCCTTGGGGCAAGCGTCCTGCAGCGCCCGGGTCACTGTCCATGGTAGGAGCCTCTGCAAACACACCTGTTTTGGAAAGAGGGCCTTGCACCTGAGAGCAGGCAGGTGGAGGAGATGACCTCCAGGAGTCCACAGTGACAAGGGTCTGCCATGGGAGATGGACATTCAAACGCCATTCCCCACCTCCTCATCCCACCAGGGCGGAGGGGAGACACAGCAGAAAAAGGCAAAGATTCCTTGTCTGGAGCAGCTCCTGATCCGGTAGGAAGAAAACCGCACTCTGAAAGATGACCTCGGAGGAGCACCCCTATCCCCTAAGAGCTAGGGCTCTCACAAATGCCCCTCACGTGCTGGGGGACACTGGGGACATCGTGCCAGTATTGAGGCCTCTAAAGGCCTGTCCCTGCTCCTCCCACCACCCAGGCTTGTTTTTACACATCACCAGCCTGGTGTGCGGTAATCTGATTATCCCCGTCATCCATTGATCCCGCCAAGGGCTTAGTCCCAGGAAGGGGCAGGGCCGGCACAGAACTCAAGTCACAGCCGTCTGGGCTGTGGTGCCGGTGGTGGTGACAGTGGCCGGGAAAGTGTCCTCAGGTCCAGGTAAGCCTGACTCCCCACCTCACCCTGGCCTGGGCCAGCTCCTGGGGTGACTGGGGCCTGGGTCCAGGTGTCCAGGTAAGCCTGACTCCCCACCTCACCCTGGCCTGGGCCAGCTCCTGGGGTGACTGGGGCGACTAGGCCTGGGGCCTTGAACAGGGTGCTCTGTGCTCTGCTTTCCCTGCAGACCAGCAGGAAGCCTATGTCTTCCCACTCTGCCCCCCAGGGCCCAGGCCTGCCAGGGGGAACGTTCCTGTCACCTGAGCAGCCACCTCTGGGTTTCACTGCAAAGGGAACAGTCATGTGGGTCATGCGTTAAGTACTTCCCCTCACCTGTATTTTTTCATCTGGACCTCAGCACCTGGGTGGGGGGTTCTGTTTCACACGAGGCGTCTGGAGGACTGGAGAAGGGAACGTGACTTGCCCAAGTACTCCAAGTGAGTAAGTCAAGCTGCCCTTCCAAACCCAGCTGCTCGTGCTCCAAGCCGGTGCCCATTTCTGAGCCTGCCCTTTCCAGAGTGTGTGTCCCCTGGCCCAGGGCGGGAGGCTGGCCCCGTGGCTGGGCAGTGTCAGCCATGTAGGGATAAAGGAGTCGGTACTGACCAAGGACGTGGCCATGCTGGCTCCCTGGGCTCTCTGCCAAGAGGGGACATGCTCCCTGGCCTCTCCATTTCTCTGAGGGGCCTAGGCATGGGGCCCGCACCGTGACCTGGTCTCTCTTCCTCCAGGAAGCTCTCTAGGCCCTGGTCGGAGCCTGGTTCTGACCCTGGGTGTTTGTCAGCCAGCGTTCTGGTTTCCACACTTATCCGTTTCCTCACAGATCTCATTTCATGGTTCCTCGAGGGGCCTAGGGAAATTGTGTCCATGAGACTTAAGAGGAAACAAGAACAGATCTGAGCCTCGTCTCCTTGGACCAGGGGAGCAGCTCTCCCCTTCCCACCAGGAGCTCTCCCTGGAGGGTTGCACGCCAACCCCAAAATCTAGTGGCATCCGAGAGCCAGGCCTGTGTTCAGTGGGCGTGGCATTTCAGCCACTCCCTCACTAGCTCCGGCCCGTGGCCCCGCTAATCCAGGGCCTGTCCTGGGTGCCAGTGTGAAGATGGGATTAGAGAGACCCAGCTGAGCTGATAGTGCAGCTACAGGTGAGGGACCCCGGGCAAAGGATTGGGAAGTCTGGCAACCATCCTTCCTGCCTCCTGGTTTGTGGGTGGAGTGGGGCCTGCAGGAACGCCCATCCAAGGGTGTTTTAAAGCAGAAAGGGAGGGGTCCGGCAAGAACTCTGAGAGGCCGTTTGGACTTGCTCTGAGAGCAGCCCTGCCTGAGTGAGCAGCCCTCCCCCTGTGGGATTTACTGACCTGTGAAGGCCAGACCGAGGCTCAGATACCATAAATGGTGAAGGAGGCCGAGAGACGCAGCCGCGCGCTGAGGCCGGCCGCGCTGGGGCTGTCTGCACAAGGATCGGAGCCTGGCACAGTGACACCCCTGGCCCCATGCCCCCAGGGACTTGGGAAGCTGGAGTCCACATGCTGCACCATCCTCCCTCCACAGACTGGAGTGTTTCTTACTTTATTGGCAGCTCCGTTGGCTCCAGGTCCTGAGGGCCACTTAGGGGATGGGAGATGGCTGCAGTGGGGGCCTTGTCCCCTGTGGTGCCTGCCGCTGTCTGTCCTCTCCTTCTGCCCAGGCCTGGCCTGTCTGCTGCCCTCAGCATGGCACAGGGCCACGGTTGGAGTGCGGATGTGGCACTAACTGCCTGGGTGTGAATCTGGCTCCACTGCTCACCAGCCCTGCAACCTCCAGGCCTCACCTTCCTCTTCTGTGAAGTGGGGACACTGATAGTTACCCCAGTCCTGTGAGGGTTAAATGAGTGAGTACCCGTAATGTCCCCAGGATGTAGGAATTGCTGAGTAAGTGTGTGCTGTTGTTCCACAGAGCCCTGACCTTTAAACAAAATAGAAGTTTAAAATGCCAAGTCTAAGGAGCCGTCTTACCCAAGGATCAACTTTGCCTCAGTGGGCGGTTGGTAAAGGGAAGGGGAAACTCGAGGATGGTCTCAGGCACCCCATTCAAGGGGCTCTGGCCACAAGAGGGCGCCATTCAGCAATGCATACCCCCCCCCCTCCCCGCCCCCCGCCCCAGTAGTTTGGGTTCCAGGGAGGAACTGGTTCTGGGGACAGCTCTGCTGGAGGCCAGAGCTCAGTGGGAGAGGTCAGCAGATACTTTGCTGAAGACCAGATGTGGGGACTCTTTCTCACCTCTTTAGCCTTTTGCTAAGGTTTTGCAATCATCCAGAAGTTGGCCCAGCACTCTGGCATGGTTTCTGCAGCCACTTTTTCCTTTCTCTGCCTTTTCTCCTCAATATCCCTTCCTCCATAAATCCAGCTAACTCCCCCTCACATATGTCATTTCCTCTGGGAGGCCTTCCCTGATCACCCCAGAAGGGCTCTCTGACCAGCTGTACCTCCCTTATCATTGTGCTTAAATGCCAGTACGTCTTTACTGAGCATCTGTCTGTGCCAGGTTTGTCCTGGGGACACTGCACGGAACAGGACAGACAGGCTCTGCCTTCATAGCGGGTACATTCTGATGGGGAGACGGGTAAGACTCAACATCTGGTTGAATCGAACACTGACAAGCACTGTTAGAAAATGAGGACAGAGGAGGGTGATGAAGGAAGTCTCTACAAGGAGGCGACCTCTGAGCAGAGACGTCATGGACTGGAGGAAGAGCACTCCAGGCAGGCGGTACGCAAGTGCCAAGGCCCTGAGTTGGGAACCTGGTCAGCCTGTGTCTGGAGCAAAGTGAGTGGGTGGCCAAGTGGTAGAGGATGAGTTCAGAGATAGAGGCAGGGTACATCATGCAGGGCACCCAGGGGTAAGGACAAAGCATCCTATTCTGTCCAATTTCACTTCGTTCCCCTGCAGAGTGTAAGCTGCCTCCAGGCAGAGACCATGTTTTACTGTTGCAGGTGAAGCAGGGCCTGCCATGTGGATGTATGTTCAGTGAATGAATGAAAGAGCAAACTGAGGTGGAGTCTCCCCAGAAGTGGCAGCGTGTGTGTGTGTGTGTGTGTGTGAGCGTGGGGGCAGGGGGCGGGGAGGCCTTCTATCCACCTCCTCACTTGTCTGGGGCTCAGTCAGTGCTCACCGGAGGTGCAGGAAATCCACAAACCAGCTCTCAAGTCGATCACCAAATATCCTTTCCTTGCCCCCACTTAAAGGAAAAAAAAAATCCCCAGTAGTTAATCAGGCAATGAAAGCCTTCTTCCCTCCTGACCCAGGATGGAGCCTAAAGGATGATTAATCCAAATTCCTGCAAAGTCCAGGAAGATCTGAACGAGAATAAATTGTTCAGTGCATATGGACTGTGTCATTGGTGGGGGCTTCCTTAGGCTGGAATATTTTAATTTATCTCCTTGGAGTATCTTTGTGGAGGCGAAAATTCTTAAGTGACTAGATTTATTAACCTACTAATTGCACCCATTTTGACATAGTTTTGAGCCCAATGGTTTGTTTATTTAACTGAAGGTCTGCTGGGCTTTTTAAAGACGCCTAAGGACATAGAAAAAAATGAAACTTAATAGCCATATTTATTAGAGAACTTGTTTTGACGTGAGGTCCTAATGAAAACAAAGGGCCCTGGGGAAGTCGGCCGTGCACAGTGAAAGCATCAGTAGAAGCCCAGGCCTTCAGGTAAGGAGCAGCCACTCCATGTGGTAGCTCTGAGCACGGGCAGCCTCTGTGCCACCTTCTCTCTCCTAACCATGCTCCGGTGCTTTGTACCCCGTGTGGTCTGTCCAGTGGGTGTCAGGTAGAGACCCTGCCCGCCATGAATTTAAAAACACTGAAAGCTTTTAAAATACGTATGTCAGCTAAAGAGAAATTTATTGAAGGAAAAGGATAAGTATCAGTTTTAACTTGTCTTTAATATATATTAAAGATCTTTATTGATTTCAGAAAGGAAGGGAGAGGGAGAGTTAGAAACATCAACAATGAGAGAGAATCATTGATTGGCTACCTCCTGCACAGCCCCACTGGGGATCGAGCCTGCAACCTAGGCATCAAACCGTGACCCCCGGGTTCATAAGTTGATGCTCTACCACCGAACCATGCCGTTCGAGCAACTTGTCTTTTTTTTTTTTTTTGAGGACCTTAAAACATCTGCCCAAAGGTCTTTCAAATTCTAAGAAGGCAAGCAGTGAAATGTTAAATTACTTTAAAATCAATAGTTTTGTTTTATATAGGTTGACTACAAAAGTTTGGACATGTAGGCCCTTCATGTCCCAGAAGGACTTCCAAGTACATAGTTTACATCTGTGTCCATGTGATAGAACTTGAGCCTCGTTTTACTGATCAGAGATTTATACTGTCTACTTATATGCGCATTGTAGATCATAGCTGCCAATTGCTAGCTTGGAGTCCTTGGTCGAGACTGCCACCCCGAAT